TCTTGGCAAACTAAACTTTGCCAACTTGTTTATCGAGTTTAATTTCTTGTTCATCATATACATACATACATACCAAGAGTGATCCATTTCGAGGTTCCCTACAGTTTTACATATCGCTGCAGGAAGAAGTCTAACGGTGTGACACCACAAGATTTTGGTGGCCAATCGACCGGCCCAAAACGTGAAATTATCACCTCACCCAATTGCTCTCTCAAAAAATCCATGAATGTATACGAAGTGGCATCGTATTGTTGCAACCAATTTATGGCACCAAATGGTCGGTTATCATTGCGCGATAACGGTTGACATTGACGCTTACGTTCTCACCGGCATCATCGAACAAATCACACCAAAACGTGTTATATTCTGAATAAAATGGCAGCTCCTTAACCTCTTCGTCCAAAAAGTGGCTATTTTCTTTATTTTCTTACACACTGAGCCAGAATTGGGCTCATAGTTGATCGGATCGGATCGGCTGACGATTTTTTATGAGGAGCCTTTAATTCATGTCATAGCAACCGCAATTGAAATCAAATATTTGTATATGTTGCTCGACACAAGACTTAAAGCCTGGCTTTCTGGCTGACTTACATACACATAGAATTGAAAATTTGTCATCTTTATTTAGAGACAAAAGCATTGCTTTACAGACTTAGTGTGCATTTTGTTGACTTTGTAAGCTTATTCTATGTTCGTTGTTTTAGTGTATGCGCTTTTATGTGCTTGTAAATATAACAAAATTTTAGGAGACTTTATCAGTCATTTATACCATGTATACATACATATGTACATATGTATATTCCATATAAGTAAATAAGAAAACATCTTTCTTTTGTCTAAGAAATGAAATTTGTTTCGCGGAGGAATTAAGAAGCGGTCGTATCATTTCGTCTGCAAAGTTTCAAATCCTCAACTCTTCATCAAGTCGCTAACGACTTACATACGCGTATATACATACTACATATATGTGCATATATGTACTTGCAAAATGTTGTAAGAACATTGACACATAAAAACCAGGCAACATGTAAGTCACTAAACAAAGCGCAAAGTGGGTAACACAGTTAAGAACTTGTGACAGTTAGAATTTATGATCGAAATTGCGCCATTTTTGGTATAACAAAGTTGCTGTAGTTGTGACTTTTAAAGTTTGTTTGTTTTTTCATTTTTTTTTCCAAAAATACTCAAAAATATTAATATGCCATGAAACAAAATGTGACTCGTAAAAAATGTCGTCGCTTGAGAACTGATAAGGTGGGAAATTATTATTAGCAGTTGGATAATCAAAAACTGAATTTAAGGGGTTTCATAGGTCCTAAAGGCAAAGAAAAGCTTATTTTCTGTAATTTTTTTAAAAGTTTCTAAATAAAGTATATAATTTATTTTATTTACACATAAAAGTACAATATGTGGGCAACATTTGATGAAAATTTGAATGAAAAATAGTAAAAGTTGAGGCGTTGTCAGCGTCGTGAAGTAGTAGAAGTGTCGAAAATTCGAGCTCGATCGCTTCAATAGTCATTGAGAAATTTTGACAACCGATTTCGATAAAGTGGTTTTAAGAAAATCGGGTTTAAAGTTCCGCCATCGGCTACCCAATGACAAAGACGGCGGGTTATATAACTCTCTAAGCTCTACAGTTTCGTCTCGATCGACTTGAAATTTCGGGAAAATATTCCTGACACTTTGTACTTTTATGCAAAAAATTATTAAAAAAAAAAAAATAGTTTTATGAAGTTTCAAGACATATGTAACCCCTTGAGTAAGTGTATGAGAGTGAGCTTGACTCTGTGCTTTACTTAACTTTTTTTTTTACTATCACGGTGAACAGTACATTAGGATTTCTCAAACTTATGCGGTCCGCCATACATCAGAGTAACCATGGGATGCTCAACACCAAGTAAACGTTTGGTATCTGCAGAGTGCAAGACTACAAATAGCCACAGGCATCTACAGTGTGAATTTCTTAACCCATGATAGCAAATTACCCTACCTAAGGTCAGGTAAGCCCAGTCGGAAACCCCACCCAAAATCCCTGTTTCTCAACTTCTATAAATAAAAGTTAAACGCCGACATATGTGTACGCGCGCAACTTGAGAATAGCTGTGAATGTTCTGATATATAATATATATACGAGTATATGTAACTGACATTTTACTTAGATTAGAATGAACACTACTTTTCTCTCCAGGAAGTAGGACAGGGACGAGCCTGTCAATCAGCTCTCAATTTCGCTAAGCGAGTAAGTTTAAAGGTTTTACACATTTAAATAGCGAACCGCTTGCTTAAAGGCCGACGTCCGCTAGCAGCCCCACCTCTGGTGAAGAGACACAGCAATTATACTTCAGCGGAGCTTTACACCGAATTAGTCGGAGTGGCTGACTTAAGCTTTATCTCTTTTAATCGGGACCCAGCCGCTTGGTTAACGCATCTTCTACAAAAGTTACTGATGTTTCCATGATATGTGACGTAAGCACAATAGTAGGAGTTGAGTTTAGCTCGGCGAATGTAACTATATACCCAGAAGCTTGACTACACCTCGGCTTCTCGAAAAGTTGATTTTGTCATCCTTGAAAATCGCTTAAGCGGTTACAGAGCGCCAATCATATATATATACATATATATTATATAATATAAAATTATATTGGATGAGTATTCGATTTTTTATTTTGCTTTGTAAGATAAATAACAAAGTTGGTATTAGAATTTTCTTTAATAAAAGAAGACAACGCTTTTCAGATTTAGTTCGTGTTTAGTAATATTTTTTGAAAATTTTTCTGCAGTACTATTGTATGATATCGCTGTAATAAAGACACAAAATCACTCATATACATAACTATTCGCCAATATTAATTTTCCTCTCTATGCGCTCTACTTGCACTGCACCCTTTTAATCCGAGCATTTTTCTCTTTGGTGAAAAAAGTGTGACTAACTAAGTGCGCTGACCCAATAACTCGTCTGTTATCTGCAAAAGCGACGAAGAACAGGTGAACCATTTCACATGAATGCACACAAAAATCCGTTATTAAACAGTGGAATTATAAAAAGAAAAGGAAACTAAAATATTTGTAGCGCAGGCGTCAGCGCACCTTCAGCCGCACATTAATACTCAGAATATGAGGATTTGAATAAGCAAGTAAATCCTTATGTATGTTCATACATAAATAAAAGGTGAAACTATACATTAACTGTATTTTTAGTTGTTCATTACAAGTAACTAAATAGTCGCATGTGTGCATACATATCAATATGTCAAGACCTCTTTGAGTTGTGGGGAAAATCGGTGTGCACAAATACGCTCTGCTCTGCGAATAAAAGCGCAAAACTAAAGTACAAAGGAAATAGCACAAGGTGAAAAAATGCATATAAGTACATACTCGTATGTATATAACTGCGGAGGCACATAACTTCATGTTGCTGACTTGTTTATTTATTTAAATTCGAGTATTCATGTTTTCGTAAATATATATGTATGTATTACGTTTGAAAAGCTTCTTTGCTTTTCCTAAAATTTTTCCCTTTTGATTTATCGCTGCATTTCACAAATCTCCTGTTGTTACTAATACTCTGTTGTCGCATTTGTTGGAAGACACATCTATTTCTGTGTGAGATTTTTCCATTTCGTTTATTGAATATATTTTAAAGAATGTTAATACACATACATACACGTATGTAAATGAAAAATGAAAGCCAAGAAATAATAAATTATATATAAATTCTATTTTATCTGCTTTTCGTAATCTCGTAATCGTATAATGGACGGTTGTTATAATTTTTATATGGGATTTCGATAATTCCTCTATATTAGTCTGTATGCGACAAAAATGCGGATTGTAGCGAGACGCTGATCCACTGGGGTTAATATCTGTACGCGGCGCCGGCGTCTTTAGCCCATCCCGAACCTGGCACCGAGTTTGCGCTCCTCTATATTGTCAATGCCACAAGGACCTACTCAGTTTCGTCCATGTCCAGTCTAATGCCCTTAATTTTGTTAGGACTTAAACCAGCTGGGCTGCGGCACTTTCCCAATAAATGGACTGTACATTCCATTTGCGGGGGTCCTCATATTAAGGGGTTGTATCGCATCTGAGATATATCCCAAAGCCAGCACACAATCTCGCTATGGGAGGTGTAGTTTCAATACCAAAACCACCAGAAGGTCTCCGAAATACAATACAAACCATCAACAGCTTAGTTGATGGGCTTGGTTGTAATAGAAAAACCTTGACAGCCTCGATAAGGAGAGCTGTAAAATGTGAGTAAAAGCCTCAAAGAGATTTATTTTTACCTTAACGTCGAATCCCTCCCAAGTTTCAAGCAAGCAAGTTCACTGTGTACAAAACATTCTTATGTGGGCTACATATTACTCTGGCAAATTCTTATTTATTCATAATTGAAGATTAATACCGTGTAAAAATACTTACTGAGTTTGGTCGAAATATCTCAGGAACTGAATTTAAGAACAAACAAATGCGCCAAAATTAAAATATCTACTCATGATCTTGAATGCTTTAATAAGGAATAAAATATATAGACTTTACGTTTTTAGAGTCAAAAACATATTACACATTTTTCTAAAGTCAAAACATTTATTTAATTCCGATGGTATTAAGTTCAAAGATACTACTGTGCTATGTGTGCTAAGTGGAGTTTATTTTTAGAATGACTAAATAAGTTTAGACCAATTATCGTTCAAGATAATATTGAGTTTTTGTAGTTTATTCGTATCCATTAAGTATTTGCATCTGATGCCTTTGAAGAAATATGAAGTGAGGTGTAGTCTTTATGGCTCATATGTCCTGAAATACAAATACACTATAAAGTCGCACCTTAAAGAAAAAATAAAAAATATTTCCTGAACTGAAAAAAGTTTCCATTTTAAAATATTAATTTTTAATCTATTAAAAATTTCATTTTCACTCCATAAACTCATGCACACAATAAATTAAGCAAAATACCATTTAATTAAGCACAAAAAGTTCATTTTGCATGCTTTTAAATATATTTTCGCCTAAGAGTCTTACAGTCGAGTTTAAATGGTGTTAAAAGCATAGTAATCAATATCAAGAATGCATAAACGTATTCAAGCACACTACATTTATATAAAGCATGCATGTATGTATGTATGTGTTAAGCACATATGCAAATATTTCACACATACAACTACATATGTAAGTGTGCACATTGTATATTTTGATAACCAGTCACTTTTGTATACTCATTCATTCATCTTCATTATAACAGCCAACAACGAGTAAGCCCCCTTACAGGTCGATACGAACGTATCCAAATGAATGCGTATCATACCACCAGCCATGGCAACCTCCTTCTTTAACGAACGCTCATTGAAGAGTATCATATGCTTGCGAAATTTCTGTGTCTGCTCTACCCAATTACTCGCATACATCTCAATGTGCAGAGTCTCGAAAAGTAATTGAAAGTCCGTGCCGTAGTAACAGGTGGGAAATATCTCCAGGGGCATGGAGAGGAAATATGCCAAATAGTATAATCGATCGAATGGCGCATCGACGAAGAAGAATAATGCAGCCATGGCCAGACAGATGTTGATTGCAGTAACGGTAAATTGAAGAAACATTGGCAGGGAGATAATATTTTGTATGGTGTTGAGCATGCTGCAAATGGAAATGAGGAGAGAAAAAAAAAATAAAAGAAATATAATAAAATATTATCATATAAAAAGTACAATGGAAAATGTTTGTTGAGTATTCATAACAAGAAGTGCTGAATTGAGTTAACATCAATATTTGACCAGATAGATATTTAAAGGGATATGCAACAACACTACAACACATAACGTCAACAACGTAAAATAAGTGCGGAAAAGCTTTTCAGCGCTTCGAAATAAGTTAAACGGAGAAAGAGTTGAAGAGGGGTAAATAATAACTATAAACTCATATAAATATATATATATTTAGTGTCAGAAATACGCTCGAAGATCTTGACATTCCCTGGCGAGGCGCGATCGCAATTAGAAAAGTTGATTTTCTTTTACATTGAATTTTGGTCGAGCCCAAGGCTTCAGAATGGCAATATGCAACGCCAATTACTAGGTTATTGATACTGACAATTCCATAAAAAAATTGTGGGAGTAGTACTTAGCGGCAAGAGCAGTAAGAAAAGGGTAAAACCTTGAAATAAAACAATAATTTTTTAAATGTCTTTTAAAGGTATAAAATTAAATTTTTCTACCAAATTGGATTTAAGTTCCCCGATCTTCTATATTTTTCGTAAATATGCATTTAAAAAAAGCCAAGCTTAGCCTCAAAATTTCGATGAAAATATTTTTTGACGCTTTAAGATTTTTTCTATTTGCAGTAAGCATCGCGTACGCAGTTATACAGCACGTAGTTCTGTACGGATTGAAGACCACTCAATCTGCATTTTCCAACTGACTATAGGTCTTGTTCTTGCTCTGCCTCCTGCTGGTGGGTAGTGCAACAAAAACTTGCAAAACGGGGGTATTATCCCCATACGGACAACATGATCTAGCTGCCGTCTATTAATTTGATGAACTATGTCAAAGCATAACTCGCATAGCTTATCGTTAAATGGTCACCATTGCTTAATGTACACTCATCAGAAATCGTATTCGTCAATGCTACTGCGTCATGCATCATATCTGCGATGATGATCGACTTTAACAGTTTGGTTTGTGTTTGTAGGGAAAAGATACTCATGACTACCAGACTTACACGCTTCACTTCTATGTTGAGTCTGGAGTTTGCTGGACAAAAACTGATTTAAAGTCATTACTCGATCGCATGTAGAATATATGGGGTTTCGAGCCAAAGTTTGAGCAGTACACTGTAAAAGAAAGCTTCACTCAATCCTTCACCTATGTGGTTATTTATAGTTTTCAAAAAATTGTAGAAGAATTTTATATTTACTAGAGAACTTATTTTGAGGACGAAGTATTACAGTATGGACAGAAGTAGGTAATAACTTCTTTGGCAATACAAGAACTTAAAACTGTCGAGAATACATTCGACAGTACGATATTATTTTGATCTCTTTTTTCGCATGCAGATTTTTTTCTTTCTTGAAAGTGGTAGAATTCCAAATTTCATGCAAGTAGACTTTTTTTTATTTTCGACGAATAGTTCATTGATATTGATGAGTGCATAAGTTCGTGCCCGTTTTCAAGTGCAAACTAAAATTGAAATTTTTTGAAGAAAGCGCTTTTATTAACCAATTATGAATTCGCCATTATGTTCGGCAATCCACTCCCAACGTTCAACCGATTTACGGTTGCCTGACTCATAGAAATCGCACGGTTTCTCGTTGAAAAAGATGTCAAGGTGGTTTTTGACGTCTTCCACATTTTTAAATTTTTACCTTTCAAATTTTTCTGCAGCTATCGAAACAAATGATAACCAGAAGGTGCAATGTCGGGTGAATATGGGGGATGATTTCCCAATTCATCGCCTTCAGNACAGTTCAGACTGTCACCTTTCCAACGATATATAAAATGTATATATTTCTTTCACGAGCGGCACTCTTAAACGATTCGAACGGCATCCAGCGGAACCGGGCACGAACTTATGCACTCATCCAATATAAATTATCTGTTTGTACCTTTCTTAAAAAAATATTAATTTTCGGAAAGAAGATTTCAGTTGAAAATGATAAAAAAATTAACTTAAACAGAAGTTTTGTTATATACTCTTGTTCAGTACCAATCATTTAAAACTTTTTTCGATCTGATAATCCGAATCGCCGAAATGGATATCAACGTCAAACATCTTCTTTCCGGTTGCCAGCATCTTTTTTTTTACATTGGTATCGTCCTTTTGAAATCTTAGAAGTGAAATGTATTTGGATTGCCATCAATTAAAATTGAATTTTTACCAAAAAAAAAAAAAAAAAGAAATAAATCTACTTGAACCTCGAAACTTCATTTGACCCCCCTAAATGCTTGCGCAACCCACACAAACTTCATTTCCAACAGAAATACCTATCAAACTCTCATATATAGATAATTCAAAAACGGATTTTCGTAATTTTTTCCCAAACTCGCTCTACAAGTGCTCCTGATCCTTGATGCAACGCAACAACTCCAACTCATTTGCATCCAAACTTTTCGCCTCATGGCCAATTTGCGAAACTCTAATACCAAGCAATTTGATGTGCGCCGACAGCAGCGCCAATGCCATCGTGGGAAAGCAATCATTTACGAAATTCTGCAGCAGGAGATAAGAGATGCCGACAATTTGATAAAAATGCGCCGCGTAAAACTTCAACTTGCTGGCACGCCAATCGAACGGAAACCATGCCGGATACAACAAATTATGTTCATTACAAAAAATAAACATCAACTCTGCCGTCACGCCGACAAACGCGTAAATGCTGAGAAAACCAATAGTAATGCGGCGCATATCTTTGCGCAACTTTAGAAAATAACCACGTTCACGTGGACTGCAGGCACGTGCATCCAACGCGGCAACGATGGACTCCAACTCACGTATGCGCCACATTTTCATGGTGTAAATGACGAATTTCACACTGCATGCCATGCAGGTTACGCACACCGCGAGATTTTGAATATTAGCCGAGGAATTGGGGCTTCTGAATAGCATCAGGGCGAGATGCAGAGGGTAGCACAGATTGACGAGCAAATGCAGCAGCACAGAGTAGACGAGGTAAAAGACATCCGCGGTGGGTGCGACGACACCGAGTACTTTAAAGCACGCCCAATGTAGTTTGAAAAATGAGCGGGTATCAACTGCAGTTGCTGCAAGTCGCTGCGGTAACGGGAACGGCAACGGCGACGGCGACGGCGACGGCGACGGCGATGGCGATGGCGACGAGGACGACGACGAGATTAAAGGCGATGACATTCCGTGTTCGTTTGTTAAAATCACGTTAGGCGCTTTGCGACTTGACGTGCGAGCTCCGTTATTTTATAGGCCGTACAATACATATAAAAGCGCCCGCATGGGGTTGCTGCGATTAAGTGCAGCCCGAAGGTTCGGCCATTATTTGAACTGCAATTTGGCCTTACTCTTTGGTGTGTGAATTGTGTGTGCGCTCACACCACATTTTGCATGCGCTCAAAATTGCCCATAAATGCTTAAATAACATTAATGTTTTAATAATCACAATTTTAAAGAATACGAACAGTGACTAACAGAAGTATTTTGCCTTTGAATATGGTTAATTTTTTCCAATTTTTTAGATATATTGGCTTTAATTTAGCCAGCGACTATAACTGCTATTTTTGGTAAAAGCCCCGAAGCTTTATAGCAGATTTATTAGTTTTCAATAAAATATTTTTAAAAAAATTTTTAAATTTTTAAAACAAAACGTCTTTGAGGTTTTTGTTATTTTAAGATATCTGGCATAGTGTGTATCTATAGTCCTAAAAAGCTACATAGGTATGAAGATGAGTACCATAGGAGGTATAGAGAATCATATGTCATACAATAAGTCCACCATCCGGTGAAAATTATATACTTTTTTTGTCTTAATAAGTTCTGTTTTCAAATTTTAAGACCTTGTTTTTTTTGAATGATTTAATCATTCAAGGGAATTGGGAAATTTTGTAGCCTTTGTATGTTACTGGTTCTCCAATACGAGGTGTTATTTTCATATTCAAAGAAAAAATATATTTTTTGAGATAAATGATCGATGAATGATGTTTATTTCAATGAAAAGAAGAAGATATGCTACTAATAATGGAAAGCAATTTCGACCAAATGGCTGACATTTAAAGCATACAAGACATCCATTATAAGAAATTTGCCATCTTCAACTCGTAAAGTGGCTGCTGCATGGCTTCAATAGCTTCACGAATTCCATGTTTGATGTCTCAAATCGACATTGGCCTGTTGGCGTAGAGCATATATTTTATGCGGTTTCAAAGGAAGAAGTCGCAAGGTGTTAAACGGCAAGATCACAGCAGCCAACTGCCAAAATTGTCCAGATCAGTACCATCCAATTCCGACCGTAAAAATCATTATTGAACTCCCGATAGCACAGTCCTGCCCCCGTTCCCGAAAAATAAGGTCAAATGACTCCGCCGGACCATGAGCCGCACCGAAAAATTACACGTTGAGGACTTTTCATAAGTAAAGCTTGGGATTTGCGAGCACCAGATGCGGCAGTTTTCCTTATTGACGTAGCCTTTTGATGTGGAAATGGGCCTTAAAAGACAAGCATCATTTTTTCGATGAGATTCCGAATAATTTTCATGTATTTCGAGGGCCCAATCACCAAAGACACGACGTTGTTGATGATCAACCGGAATGAGTTCTAGTATTAACTGAAATTTACAAGCCTTAAAAACCGAGTCTTTGCACGAAAGAGGATGTAACAACTTTTATCGAATGCCCAATTCAAAGGAACGACGGGGAAGGGAAAACCCTACATTTTCTTCAACACAACAGCACTATTCTCACATTCTTATTCTTCGCATCATCAACTCGTCCCAACAGCTCAATTTATTCCATCAATTTTTGTATTGCGGTCCGACAAGGTGATTTACGATGACCGAAAAATGTTTCAGTTTCACGAACCGTCTCTGCCAGATTTTCCAAATTTTTGTAGTGAGTTTTAACAGTTTCAGTGCATTGTTGAAGCGTATATCGTTCCATTTTTATTACAGACTTAGTTTTTTACGCTTAAATTTTGTCCAGCGGAAAGATGAGATCTTGAATATTGATTTAAAATTTTTTGCAACTGCGCACCACATATTGACTCCTACTGGGTAAACTTTGGTCTCATGGATAATTTATGGATTTGATTTACTTCAATTATGGAATTTTCAACTGTTCAAAATGCCGTTTAAATGAAAATGGACCTCATCAGACATAGATAGGCAATTTACCACGTAATTGTCTTCCCCAGTCATAACTTGCTACTTAAACTTTATGCGGAGACAGGTTTAAGTCATCATCGTTAGACCAGGAGCTTGCTCGAAGTTGAGCCGTTAAGTTTCGAGTCAAAACTTGTGATGCAGCAGCTGCGATTGTGTCCTGGATACAAGCATGTGGAGTTCGAAGGTATGGTCTTCTTGCGATGCATCCAGAATCCGCAAAACTATGTTAACCGACCTCATTAAGATCCATCCACTGTGATAAGTGCCGCTAAAATCTCTGCTCAGTTACAGCTTGTAAGGCGTCTGCATCTCGTTGCATTTAAGGTAAATTTAAGCCATTATCAAGGGATAGGTCACTCTTGCGACATGTTATGGAGTATTTTACTACTGGACTTACACCTTTCTTTAAATAAAATTCAGCTCACATAACATCCAAAGCCTGCTGGCCATTTACAATGACGTACAGACCTTAATTGAAAGCTTAAACAACAAGCAGTGAAGAAGATGTTTTGAACAAGAGCAAACAGCGAGTAATAGCGAGAAAAATTCTCAATCAGGGAGAAGAGAGAGTGATTCGCCTTTACTGTTTTGTAAACGGATACGGCGACACTGTCACTATCGCTTCGGAGCGTATTATGGTGATATACCTACCAGATTTATTTGGCCTGCAATTGCAGAACACGACTAGTGGTTTCAACAAGATGGTGCCACACGCCACACAACCTGAGGCAATACGAATTTATTACGAGAGAAATTTTCCGGTCGCTTAATTTCTCATTTTGGCGATGATATATATATTATTAATACCATGATATATATATTATTAATACCATTGATATTTTTTCTTGTGAGGCTACGCGAAATACCGTTATTGTGCGCATAAGCCTTTGACTCTTGAGCACTGAAAATCAACCACTTACAAGTTATTAATGAGATATGTTCCAATATCTGCCAAAAAGTTGTCAAAAATTACCTAAATTGGATTGAAGTTTGCGAAAATTTGCGAGATGGTTATTTGAACCAAAATAAAGAATGAAAATGAATTTCTGGAAAAAAAATTATTTTGAATTTTTTTTATTTAATTAATATTAGAATTTAAAATTTTATACTATTTTTTTTATTAAATTATTGTATTTTGAATACCATTTTTATTTGGGCGAAAAATTTCAATTTTTTTTTTGAGTGAAATTAAACAAGAGATTTCGTAAACTTCTAGAAAAATGGCATTATTGTCGTGTGGCATTATTGGAAGTGTATTACGGTTAATTACTTAATAACGATATGAATAATAGAGAACCCAAAAACAGTCGGTGAGAAGGTGTAATTTTAAATAATTAATTTTACTGCTGCCCTTTTGATCATATTTACGGTAAAACAATTATTAAGAGTTTTAGTTTGTTGGGTTTTTATAGTTTGATTTAAAACTAAAGGCACTGCACTGCGGAGATTATAAAAGCAAGATTTAAATAAAAATTTGGAAATTTTGTTTATGAAAAGCTTAAACTCCTAAAAGCCCAGATATTTGCATGTGCAAAAAGTATTTTAACATTTAACAAAAATTTTCTAGTTTTATAAAATCCACGTAGTCGTATATGTCTGAACGCACGTAACCATGTAAGTGCTCCGTTTTGATTTCTTATTTATTTGTTTGTGCAAGTTTATGGAAATGGCAGTCACATCACTCTGGTGCGTCATTTTTATGATTGGAATATTGTTGGTAAATGCGCGAGAGTATAACATCGGCTATTCTCGTGCATGTATGTGTGCCATATTTTATCTGCAGTGCAGCAGTTATTCAGTTGGTACATTGACAATAGCAACAATGGAGACTTAGTAGATTTATACATATATGTATACTTTTCTTTATTTATTTAGTATTTACTCTGTTGTTGCATTTCTTTCCTTGCAACATGGATTGCATGCAACGCACGTGTCATTTGTGTTTTGATGTGACATAAATAAAAAAAACAAGTGAGGAATAAAAATGGTACTTTCTGTGGATGTAGAAAATGGCTAAACAGTGCTGAACTCATGTCACCTAATATATATTTATATATATGTATATAAATAAATGTATAGCGGGAATATGTTGCAATTCGTGACAATGTTGCAGTATCTACACAACGGATGCAAAAGATATTTAGGATACACATAAACAGACAAGGATTTAAATATATATATATATATATATATGTATCTATATATATCAGGTGTACAACTTTGCTTCCGCCGATTTCCGATAGGTAGCTGTACCGGCTGAGGCTGGTTGAAATACATAGATGATAATGCCTTTAAAGTGAGTGTGGACAGTGCTTAACGAATTGTCATCGCCGTTTCATTGACAGTTGTTCTTGTTTTCGTAGAAGAGCTTGCCGAATCGTTGGGAGTGAGTCAGCAAGCCATTTCAAAACGTCTCAAGCCCCTGGGCATGATTCGTTATCAAGAGCGACATGACAAAGTCATTCTCCAACATGACAATGCTCGGCCTCACGTCGCAAAAGTGGACAAGAAGTACCTGGAAACGCTGAAATGGGAAGTCTTGCCCCACCCGCCGTATTTTCCAGATATCGCCCCTTCTGACTTTCACCTATTCCGTTCGATGGCACACGGCCTGGCAGATCAACATTTTCAATCCTTCGAAGAATTGGAAAAATGGATTGCTTCATGGATATCGTCAAAAGAGGACTCCATTTTTCGAGCCGGGATCCGAAAATTGCCGGAAAGATGGGAGAAAGTTGTCGCTAGCAAAGGACAATACTTTGAATAATATATCTGTAAGCTCTTTTTCACAACAAAGCTATTAATTTTGGAAAAAACGGCTGAAGCAAAGTTGTACACCTGATATATACAAATATATATTTATTAAATGTATTTAAATATAAATTTGTTTATGAATATATATACGAGGTTTGACTGATTAGAGTACCGCTATTATGGTAACCCTGCGACCTTCGAATTCCCTTTCTCTTAGCCGGGCATGCTTCTCCCCTCCATTGATATATTTTCCATCGCTATAGCTTT